AAAAAAATTCTCTCTCTCTCTCTTTAAAAAAAATAAATAATAAATAAATAAATTTCTGGATTTCTTCTTCACTTTTGAAGGACAGTTTTTCTGGTTATAGAATTTTTATTCTTTTCCTTCAATTCTTCCAGTGTATCATCTGAAAAGCCAGCTTCTATTGAGTTTCCCTTGTATGTAATAAATTCTTGTTCTGTCTCTAGATCCTCTTTGTCTTTGATTTCCGACAATTGGACTGTAGTGTATCCCAGCATGGAACTCATCTATCCTCTTAAGGTGAAGGTGGAGTGGGGCATGAGAATGAAGATAACTTGCAAGTTTATCTACTTGCAGTTTGTTGAGCTTCTTGGATGTGTAGACTAATATCTTTCATTGAAATAAGATATCTTTGGACTTCTACAATTTTTTTTTCTTTTCCTTTATAATAATGTGGATATTAGATGTCCCACCAAAAGTTCTTATGTTGAAGGCTTGGTCTCCAATGCAGCAGTGTTCAGAGGTGGGACTTGTTTTGGGGTGGGGGGAGTGATTGAATCATAAGAGCATTAACCTCATGAATAGATTAACTCATGGATGGATTCATAGTTTAATGGACTATTGGGAGGCTGTGGGAATTTAGGGGGTAGAAACTTGTTGGAGAAATGTTATTGGGGATGTATTCTTTTTTTTAACTTTTTTTTTTTTTAGAGAGAGAACTTTTAATATTTATTTTTTAGTTTTCGGCAGACACAACATCTTTGTTTGTATGTGGTGCTGAGGATCGAACCCGGGCCGCACGCATGCCAGGCAAGCGCGCTACCGCTTGAGCCACATCCCCAGCCCCCGGGGATGTGTTCTTGAAGAAGATATTTTGTCCCTGGTGCCCTCCTCTCTATGCTAGCTGGCCACCACAAGATAAGCAGCCTCCTCTGCCACATTCTCCTGCTACCTTGATGTTCTGTCTCATGACAGACCCCAGAATGATGAAATCAAGTGACTGTGACTGAAACCTTTGAAACTTGTAAGCCAAAATGAACCTTTCCTCCTTTAAAGTTTTTTATCTCAGGTATTTTATCACAGCAGCTAAATGATGATTAACACACCTTTTATCTCCCTCTTCTCCTTCTGGTATTTTCCATGACTTGTATGAGAGTGGACGATGGTATCTCACAAGTCTCTGAGGCTTTGTTCCTTTTTCTTTCTATTCTTCAGACCAGATAATCTCTATCACCATATCTTCTAGTTCATTAATCCTTTCTTCTGCCAGCTCAAATGTGCTGCTGAGTCCCTTTAGTGGATTTTTTATTTCACATAATGTACTTTTCAACTCCAGAATTTCTATTTTTAAAAATATTTTCTATCTTTCTACTGATATTCTCTACTGATATTCTTACATCACTGACATACTTTTTAAAATTAAAAAAAAAATTGAGTTTAGGTGGACATAATGCCTCTATTTGTTGATTTTTATGTGGTGCTGAGTATCGAACTCAGTGCCTCACACATGTTAGGCAAGCGCTCTACCACTGAGCCCCAACTCAGCCCCAGTTTTTAAAATTCTTTACACATGGGCTGCGGATGTGGCTCAAATAGCCTGGCATGTACGGGGTGCTGGGTTTAATCCTCAGCACCACATAAAAATAGAATGAGGATATTGTGTCCACCGAAAACTGAAAAATAAATATTGAAAAAACTCTCTCTCTCTCTCTCTTTAAAAAAAAAATCTTTACACATGATTTCCTTTCATTTGTTAGTCTTGGGCATTGAACCCAGGAACTTTTACATGCTAAGCACATACCCTACTTCTGAACTACCAGCCTCCTTTAGTTCTTTGAACATATTTACAGTAGCTGAATTAAAGTCATTGTCTAGAAAATTCATCATCTTATTCTCTCAGAGACAGTTTCTAGTGACTAATTATGTGTGCAACTTTTCTGTTTCTTTATAGGTTTCATGCTTTAAAAAAAACTGTCCTTATTTTTTTAAAAAAATTTTTAGTTGTATATGGACTCAATGCCTTTATTTGTTTTTATGTGGTGCTAGGATCGAACCCAGTGCCTCACACTTGGGAGGCAAGTGCTCTACCACTGAGCTACAACTCCAGCCCCACACGGTCCTTTTTTAATAATATAATTTAGCAGCCCCGAAAAATAAAAAATTCTCCCCTCCAAGGTTTGTTGTTGTTGTTGCTGCTGTTTGTTTAGTGACATTCCTGGGCTAATTCTGTAAAGTCTATATTTCCTGTAACATGCAGCCAATTGAAGTCTTTCTTCAGTTAGTTCAGTGATTCACTTTAATGCTTGGACCAAGAATTCCTTAACCGCCTTGACCTAGCAAACTTCCACTGATTGTCAGGAGCTCTGTCTGTGGGTTGAGGTGAACCCTCAGTCCCTTGGCGGTTTCCAACTCTGTCTTGGACTTCACTTCCTGCCTATCCAAAGCCTCAAGATCAGCCAAAGATTGGGAACCTCCTAGGTCTTTCTGGAGAATATGCATAGCTTTTCAGATCCCTAGGAATCTATTAGAGCTTCTCAAAGTTCTCCTTGGACATCTCATTTCCCTAATCTTCCTTTTAAATTTATGGCAACTCTGTTTGCCTCCACGCGGGCATCACCGTATTAGGCAGCGGTGACGTTAAGCAATTAAAGCTTATTAAAACTGACAAATGTCCCGGACATAGGAATTTTCCCATGCAGAGAGCCCCAAAGGGGATTAGTAATGTCCTGGGGGTGGGAGCTTTTCCATGGAGAGAGCTCCGTGTTGGGTTTAATGATAACATACTGTAAATGACGTTTTACCAAGGAACTGTAGCACAGGTCAGATGATGACAATATTTTTTTTTTTCTTTTTGGTACTGGGGATGGAACCCAAGGGCATTTTACCACTGAGCTAATCCCTGTCCATTTTTACTTTTTATTTTGAGATAAGATCTCACTAAGTTGCTTAGGGCTTTGATAGGTTGCTGAGGCTTGTCTTGAGCTTGTAATCCTCCTGCTTCAGCCCCCCAAGTTGTGATTACAGCTGTGTGTCATGGAGCTCAACTAGGGACAATATTTAGGGAGATGGAGCTGTCCAAGGAATTCACACCCCAATATGTTCTTCCCACCCCTGGTGTGTGTATGTGTGTGTATGGGGGGGGGTGTTTCTTTCTTTTCTTTTTTCTTTGGATAATGGGGCTTGAATCCAGGATACTACCAGTGATCTAAATACTCAGGCCTTCACACACACAGACACACACACACACAGGAGTCCTTAGGAATCCTCCCAGTTGGAGAGGTATGGGGGGCCTTTGAAAAAGACAGTGGGAAGCCAGGATCCACCCCTGGACCCTGGTGCCTGGCTTACTGTTCCCTTGGCCCTTCCCCAGGGAGATGGCATATTTTGAGTACTTTGTAGCTAGAAGTTGCATATTCATGATCCTCACAACTTACCAAAAAGAAAATTATCTTATTTCCACTTTACAGATAAACAGAAGCTCACAGAGGTCAAGTCACATTGCCGCAGTCTGGCTGGGCACAAATGCCGCAGTCTGGCTGGGCACACAATCACGAGCCACCACACAGCTTGTAGATTCAAACAGCAACTCTTTATTCCCGCACTCACACCAGCCTTCTACAATCACGTTCTGGGGAAATCCACGTTCTCTTCCCAAATCCACCTCCACTGGGCTTCTATCTCCAAAATATACTGTCTGAATCCCGTGAGAACTCAAGGGGAACTCAGGCAGCAGGATATGCCCTATTCCCAGCAGGAATAATCTTAAACCTTAAACCTGGAACCTAAACTGGGAACGCCCTAAACACGATTATCTTAAAACCAGGAACACCCTAATCTGCCTTGGTCCTTGAGCAAGGTCACCTACATTCAATGTCACTGCAACATGTCAGCAACATGGGGTACGCTGGCAAGGAAATTGTCATACCTACTTGGCTAATGGCTCCCAGCATCACATGCTGAAAGTTAGAGCACTATGTGTGGCAGAGAGGGATCCTTCTTCAGAATGTTGGGTATCACCCAACCCATCATCCTGGCCCTCAGGCTGGTGAAGAGGCTGCAGAGATGCCTCTGATGGAGGTGTCCATCATGAAAACTTTTCAGCATCAGTGATACAGCGCTTGCCTAGCACATGTGAGGCACTGGGTTCAATCCTCAGTACCATGTAAAAATAAATAAAATAAAGGTATGGTGTCCATCTGAAAAAAAATTAGCATAATAGATTTGAACCCCCTCTTTTAGACACCCAGGAAATGTCCCTTTACAGGCAGTCACAGAGCAGAGAACAATAGTAAAGTAATAGATGTGGCTTCCCCTGCCACTCACACCTGCTGAGGCAGCTCCCAGGTTAGCTTCTGCCTTGTCAGGGCCAGAGCTTCCGGGCCATGCACCAAAACCCAGTGTAGCTACGTTAAGGTCTGGCTGGGACTTGAGGGCTCTGGGAGAATTGGACCATCTGCTGCACATGCTCAGCTTCATAGAGCCCATGGCCTGGGTACCCGGAGCCCAACCAGACCACTGCAAGTCTAGAGTGGGCAGAATGGCAGGGTGGTAGGTTACCGAATGTCCTGCATCGTGACTAGAGCTTCACCCCCTCCCACTGAGCACACACAAAAAGGGGGGACACAGTTATTATCCAAAAAATTCATACAAAACAAACTTTATTGTGGTATTTCAGAAATGTTGAGGAAATCATAACTACGGTGCACTTTCAAGTGCTGGGTGGTCTTTAGTCACACAATCTCATCACAACCTCACAAGCACCCTGAGAGACAACTACAGACCCCTTTGTGGGGGACTTGAGGGAGATAACCCAGTAAGTTCCACTGACATGCCTCCCTGTTCCAGGTCTTCAACACGCTGGGACCTCAGGACAGATACAGCAGCCTTGGTTACAGAAACGAGGAATCAACTACCCACTCTGCACACAGCACCCCGAAAGGGAACACCCTGGTGTGGGCAGAGAGGTTTCTCTTTGCTACACTGGCCCCAGCCCAACTTTCCCTTGGGGAAAGAGTAGTACAATGACCACCAGCTCCCTGCCTCCCTCTCTGTCCTGCCTGCTGCTGGCCAGGCCCCCTGACCCCAGGCCAGGATGAGGGCAGGGCTGCGCCTGCTCCCTCTGCAGAGATAGGTCCAACCTGCTACACCTGGGAGCCTCTCTCATGAGCCTTCCCCAGTCCTCGGTGACCACACTGTGGCTATTGCCTTGATCTGCCAGCGACACACAGGACACGTGGCGGTATCTCTGAAGATCCGCTGGGCACAGGAGCTGCAGAAGTGTGAGTGGCCACAGGGGTCAAGATAGGTGTCGGCAGCATGGTGGAAGCAGATGATGCACTCGTTGTCTGGTGTGACTGGAAAGAAGAGAACACAGGTTGGGGTCACGTGGGGCAAGGGGTGGGCCACTTCTCATGATCTGATCCCAGGACAGAGAAAGGTGCTATCTTCTGAACATGACCTCACGTGACAACACTCCTGATGTGATCAAGGGAAGAAGACGGACACACAGACAGTCGTCCGCCCTTGGTCTAGGTTTTGTATCTCATGGTTACCTGTGGTCTGAAAATATTAAATTTTTTTGTGTGGAAAATTCCAGAAATAAAATTCATGAATTTTAAATGATTGCTATTACACTACCGAATAATCCTGTTTTATCACTCGTTATTGTTGGGAATGTCTTACTATACTTAATTCATAAATTCAACTTCTTCATAGGCATGTATAGGAAAAGCCAAGTATATAGGGCTACCCACGGCTTCAGGATTCAGAGGACCATCATGAAACATGCCTCCTCGGGGATAAAGAGGGGACGTGGATTATGAAATTCCAATTTTGAAAAAAGAGAAAACAAAGTCCAACACTTGTCCATCTGCGCCTGCATGCACACCTATGATAAAAATACTGGAAGAAATCCATCCAAGAGGTCCGGGTGGTTTTAAAAATTTTCTTCTTGGCCTGGTACTATGACTGTAATCCCAGTGGCTCAGGAGGCTGAGGCAGGGGGATTGCAAGTTCAAAGCCAGCCTCAGCAACTTAGAGAGGCCCTAAGCAACCTAGCGAAACCCTGTCACAAAATAAAAAGGAAAAACGGTCTGGAGATGTGGCTTAGTGGTTAACTGCCCCTGGGGGATCAATCTCTGGTACCATTAAAAAAACAAAAAACAAAAAAAACCTTTATCCCTTAATCTTATTTCTATTTGGCAAAATCTTACAATGAATATGGATTACTTTTCTACAGCAAAGGCATAGCATTATGTGCTCGTGATGATGCTCTAACAAGAACACTGTCACTTGTAAAGCCAGCCGTTGCTCTAGAACGCAGAACTTTAAAGTCTCCATCCCCGGCTCTGGGAATGGAGAGACTTGAGGCTGTCGGCGACCCGCCCCACGTCATCGGGCTTCCTCCCACTCCGCAGGGGCTTCTGGAGGTTGGGGGTCTACTCACCTTCCTGCTCAGGCAAAGCCTCCTCCCTGCGGACGGCCGGCACGGCGGTGGGACCCAGGCTGGCTGTGGGGTCTGAGACAGAGAGGGGGTCAGGACCAGGGGAACAGCCCCGGGCGCTCCAGCCCACCTGTCCCTGCGGCAAAGCCTGCTGTCCCTCTCCCCTGCCCCACCCCTCCGCGGCCTGCACTCGGGTCCCCCCATTGTCTCACCCAGCAGCTGGATGGCTTTGGTGGTGCCATACACGTCCATCACCGCCCAGAGCGGCGCGCCCAGGAGCACGTCTTTCCGCAGAAGGAGCCGGCGGCCCGCGTTGACCTTGGCAAAGAGCCGGCCCCGGCGGTCCACCCAGAAGCAGACCACATTCCCGGGGAGCACGCTGCCTTCGGGCAGCACCGCTGCCCATGTCGGGCTCAGCTCCTCCAGGTCCGGGCACACGAAGGGCGGCAGGCTGGGCGCGGACACGTGCGCAGGGTCCAGTCGCGTGAAGCCCACGCGGAGGCCACCGCACCAGCCGCCCTCATGCTGCAGCACGCGCAGTGCCACACGCTCTCCAGGGGGCACCGGCCGCTGGCTGAACACGATGCCATCGTAGAAGGTGGCGCGCCTGCACGCCGTGCTAGCCAGCGCGTCCAGATGCACCTGCGCGCCCTTGGTGTCCTCGTGGAAGCGCAGCGCCTCTCGGGGAGCCTCGGTGGCTGTGGGGCAGGGTGGGAACATGGAGCAAGTCAATGTGAGCCCGACGCGGACCCACTGGCTCTTTGAGGGAACTCCCAGCACCCCAGGATCCCCAGCACTCTGGGCCACCTTCACATCCCCTGGAGGGTCATGTCGACCTTGCCCAGCTCCCTTGACAGCAGCACCTTTCCTGAACAGACTCTCACCCCTCACCCCAGGGACTCCAGGAGATCTGCTCAGAGCCTGGTGGGAGCCCACACTGACTTCTGGATCTGATTTCCTCAGCAAACCTACTAAATGCTCCTTCTCCCCAAGGAGGACAAGAAAATGAAAGGCACCAATGCCACTGCCAGCCTCTAAACCCCATCTGCCCAAAGGTACTGCCGTGTTCAGTGGGCACAGCAGGCCCACGTATTTATGTTTATTATGTCCATTTATTCTCACTCCGGGGCCCAGCCCAGGAGTAGCTGGGCCCACATGCCAACGGGGGAATTCTCTGGCAGATGGCGGTTCTTTTCTGTCTGCTTCTTTGACCTTGACATTTCCCCACAGGGAACCTGCTTTGCTGGTGGAGGCCCTGCCCCACCCTGGAAGGTGTCTCCTCATCCTGGGAATCAAGGGACTCTGCAGCTCCCGACCAGGTAGGGGTGCAGACTGGAGAAGGCCAGGGTCATCTCTTGGGTATCCAGAGGTTGTCTTAACCAAGCCCGTATTGGGCTTTGCAACCAGGGGACTTCCCAGAGGACGCCACTCGGCCTCCTGGAAGGGAAAGTTCCCTGTTGGCTGGTCCTTGTGGATCTGAAGCCTGGAGGAAGCTGGTGGAGCTTCCTGCCCCAGGACTGCACCTCCCACCCCTGGGCCCCTCCTCCTTCAGGGCTGCAAGGCTGTGGCCCTGCTGTTCCAGGGCTGGGCTTGGAAGCTGGCTACTGCTTTGCAGTTAAAAATAAAAAGAGCCCGGCTGGTGGGCTGGGGTTGTAGCTCAGTGGTAGAGCGCTTCCTAGCATATATAAGGCACTGGGTTTGATTCTCAGCACCACATGTAAACAAATAAAGTAAAAATTCATTGACAACTAATAAAATATTAAGAGAGAGAGAGAGCGCGAGCCAGCGCCAGGCACGGTGGCGCACCCTGTAATCCCAGCAGCTCGGGAGGCTGAGGCAGGAGGATTGCAAGTTCAAAGCCAGCCTCAGCAATGGCAAGGTACTAAGCAACTCAGTGAGACCCTGTCTCTAAATAATACAAAATAGGGCTGGGGATGTGGCTCAGGGGTCGAGTTCCCCTGAGTTCAATCCTTAGTACCTCCTAAAAATAAAAAGAGGTAAACTTATTCAGAACTTGAGCCAGAACCCAGCCAAGGCCACGTCCCCCAATTGGGGGGGGGGACGCTTTCCCCTGGTCTGCCCTGACCCTACACAAGCCAGCCTCATCCCAGCAGGGGCCAGGGAGGGGAGACTCCATCTGGTCAGGCACAAGGGACACCTTTGAGACCACAGTGATCCACTCTTGACCTACTGAAATATCCTTCCCCAAGGCATAGGGACAAGTGCCTTGTGACCTATGAACAGGCCTCCGCAGAGCCCTGGGTGTCCACACTTGCCCACCTCACGCGTGCTTCTGTCCCCAATGTCACCCTTTCCCATGATGACCTCATTCTCCCTTTCATCTGATGGGTGTGCCAGATCCCTTCTTCTCAAGCTTGTACCTAAGCAAGGGGGAGCCTCTGGGTCAGCACATCTGGACTAGAACCAGAACACAAGGCCCTGACATCAGGGAGCCTGCCCTGCACCCACCCCTGAGTTGCCAGCGCAGGCGGGGCGTCATGTTTGCCCCCTGGATTCTGGTCCTGCCCTGTTGCTGAGCGAGGCTGCTCCCTGCTGCCTGGGGCTCAGTCTCCTTAGCCATAGACTGGAACCCTCACCTGACAAGGCCCGGAGTCTCTGATCACCTGCCCAGAGACCCTGAACATGAAGCATTCATTGCCCAGCTGGGCCGGGGGTCGGGGCAGGTAGGAGCTCCTGGGGTAACCAGCTCAGACCAGAAAGGGCAGGCCACCCCCCACACACACTCGACTGGATCAGCGCCTGCCCCTGGAGAGACCAGTCCTGTCACCATTGAGAGGCAGGAAAGACTGTTCCTGAGAGTCCCCCATAGCCACTGGGAACAAAACTAAAGGGCAAATAGGAGTTGTCCCAGCCTTGCCCAGTATACACCCTGCAGGAAAGTGGTCCCTGTCCCTGTTGGAACAGAAACTAGAGACTGGCTACACTCAGCTCCTGGGGCCTAACGGGTGACCTACAGAGAAGAGGTCACCTGGCTCTGGCTCTGATTGGAGTTTCCACCCACTTTGTCCCCACCCCCAGCCCCATGCCCTAGACAGCTGGGACAGAGACTCAGGCCAGCCTGACCCCTGGCAGGATCTACTCTAGGGGCAGGGATGGGACAGAGGGAAGGTTCATTGTCCCATGCACATCCTGGAAGGAAGCCAGGGCACTGGCTGGCTGGGTCCAGGCCAGGGAGCAGGGGAAACTCCCTGGGAAGGTCCTCAGTGAGTACAGAAGTCCCTCGGCAGGACAGGGAGGCCTTGGGGACGCCAGGAGAAGCAGGCCTTGACCTGAATAGGAACGTGACAGTCTGCAGAGCTCCGCCCAGCTCAGGAGCCTTCCCAGCAAGTGACTGGGAGCTCTGTGTTCATGTCATCTAAGTTAGAGGGACTGAGGGGACACACTGGAGGTGTCCTCCCTAGGCGGCCAGGACGTGTGAGCACCCTTCTCTCAGTGGCCCACTTGGGATACTGTTCCTACTTCAGACAGGCAGCCCCTTATCAACAGCCTCCTGAGCATGACGCTGCAAGGTGCTACCACAGCAGGACAACACAGAGCTCTTTGGGGCTTAGTCTCTCTGCACTTACTCTCCTGTAGGGTTGTTTTGGTTGTTCACTGCACAAGGCCCAGGTTGAGTGGGGCTGAAGCCACCCTGGTCCATGCAGCCCAGCAAGGGCCTACAAGACACCACCCACAGGGTCCCCTTCCCTTCCTTTGCAGAGGGCTCTGCCACCTGAACTTGGAGCTGGGTCACAGGGGCATGAAAAGGGTGGACACCTACTTCCATTCTGCCTGGTTCCTCCCCTAGAGCCTTGCAAGTCACCCTGGTGACACAGGCAACCCAGTGTGGGGAATGGAAGAGGTGGGCAGGGGCCAAAAGTGGCTCTCCAGGCAGGTCTGTCCTACTGGCTGGGCTGACACAGGTTCAGAGAACCCAGGTGCCCTAGCACCCTCACACCCAGAGGTGGCTGTTATTTGGGGCCCCATTTTCAGGCAGGATCCCGAGGCTTGGTAGAGCAGTGGGACTCACCCATGGCTGCCGTGGAGGGACAAGGGCTGCGCGCTGGGCTGGACAGGGACCCACCCTGGCAGCAGGAAGTTCAGGAAGCACTAACCACATGCTTTGGAATGTCTCCACCCCTGGACAGGTAGAGTCAAATTACAGAATCCCTGCAGCTAGGGTCTCAAAATTTAAGTGACACAGGGTCAGTGCCTGCTCCACTAGGGCCTCCGGATCATCATTGTCTTCGTTGCCACCCCTCAGCCATCAAGACTTTGAGGGTACCAGGCGCCCACTCAGCTATCTGCAGCCTCTGCCTCTCCTCTCCCCATCCTGCAGGGGACACACTCAGAGATTGGGGAAGCTAGGTGACACCACATTCTGCCAGCCAGAAGCAGGGGATCCCAGGTCCAAGGCCCAGGTCCCAGCCACACTCAATAGGAGGCCGCCTCCTCTATAGCGCTGTCATTGTCCTGCCTGGAATGCAAACCAGATTGTCACAGCAGTGGTGGGTCTGGGAGCTGGTATGTGAGCCTTCTGTGCCCACCAGGGAGCCCTGAGCAGTGGCTTTGGCTCTTTGCCTAGGAGGGCACGTCCAGAGACACACCGTCCTGGTTGCCTTTGAGGTTGAAGGACCTGGTTTTCCTTCTTCTGCCCGCCAGAGGCCTTTCTACTAAGGAACACCTGTGGCCTCAGATGAGGCTCCCAGAGGGACTTCCTGCCTGATCACTCTATAGATTTGTGCCTTCTGGCCGTCCTGTGAAGCCAGTAGGATGGGTCGCATTGTCCCCTGCCTATAGATGAGGAAACAGAGGTATAGGGACAAAGCAACCTGCTCAGGAGCCCCAGTTCTTGAGAATTCACGGTTCTCTACAGGACCCCTAAACTCCCTCCTGTGGCCCACACGGGTCGCTACTCCCTCTGCCCACCAGGAACCGAGAAGCATCACTGTGGCCATCCTGGACCCAGATCACCCAGGTTCTGTTGGACTTCTGCAGAGACAGGAAACTCACCATGGCACGGGGAGCCAAATGGTGCCAGATGCCTCTCCTGAGCCACGAAGACACTGCCTGCATCTCTACCCCACAGACTCCCACTGCCCTCTCCACTTCTCACACCCCTGGCCCAGGAACCCAACTCAGGGGATGCAGGAGGTATACTCACAGGCATTGGAGCAGAGGTGGGCGCCCATCAGCCTGGGGTCCTTGGGCACAGGTCCCTGGGTCTGGAGGGAGTTGTCTGGTGAAGGCCAGTGGTCAGGTTTGCAAAGACTCAACAGGTTCCCTTTTTTATGAGCCAGAGATCATGTTACAGAGTTGATGATTAATTGGATTGGCTGTCAAGCATTACAATATCCTGGGGATTTCCTGGTAAGTTCTCCTGGCTTGCAGCAAACTTGCTGCAGCTAACCAACCTGAGAAAAGGAAACAGGAACTGGGGACGTGGTCTGGGTAGGGCTAGGATAGCCTTCTGTCTGACTTCTGACCGATCTCAACCCGGCTGTGCATTAGAATTGCCCAAGTCATGTTAATAAGCACCTGGGTCCAGACTTGCCCACAGAGACGCTGGTTCCATTGATCAGGGTGGGACCTGGACAGAGGGATTTTAAAAAGGACCCCTGGTGCCGGGTGCAGTGGTGCAAGCCTATAATCCCAGAGACTTGAGAGGCTGAGGCAGGAGGATCGCAAGTTCAAAGCCAGCCTCAGCAACTTAGTAAGGGCTAAGCAGCTCAGCAAGACCCAGTCTCAAAATAAAAGATAAAAAGGGTTGGGGATGTGGCTCAGTGGTTAAGTGCCCCTAGGCCACTGCTTCAGACCCTGAAGGTGCTCAATGTTGCTGAAATGGAATTCAACTGAATGAGTGGCATCTCAGAATGTGTGCAGTGGTGTCTGCCCTGGGTCTCCAGCACAGAGGAGGGGGCTCGGCAGACAGAAGGGGAGATGGGGAGGTGGTTCCCCCAGACCTGCTGGAGCTGAAATTCTACTCTGCAGAATTTGCCACCCAACAGAAATGGCCCGGCAGAGGTCACACCAAAGGCCTGCTGGCTCCTGATCTGTTAGCTCTGGCAAAGAAGTCAGAGTGATCTTCTGTCCCTTTGATTGCTCACAAGGAAACTGAGGCTCCCAGAGGAAGGAGCTTTCTCTTGCCCAGTGTTTTTTATGGGGCAAAGAATCTTCTGTGCATCTTGTTAAAAACAGATTGCCTCAGAAGGTCTGGGACCTGCAGGGATTCTGTGTTCCTAACTTCAGGTGCCAAGGCCTTATTGTGGTGCAGGCCTGAAGTACCCTGGCCCTTCACCCCCAGGGTGAGCCAGTCCCAAGATCCCAGAGCAAGGTCACCTTCAGCCCTTGTTCAGAACTCTTCATAGGATGAATAGCCCCTGGGCATGTCCCTGGGGGAACAGAGGATGCAAGTAGGCTGGGGAGGTGACAGGGCAGGAGAGGGTGGAGAGTTTGGAGACAGGTTATGCTCCTGGTATTACCTTGAGTGGCTCCCTTGCTCTCCCTGGGCCCTGGGGTTTCCAGGTATAAAACAGAAAGTCACAATGAGCTGGCCTGGGGGTCCCTTCCAGCCTAACAGGCAACATGCTGTGGCTGTGGACTTGGAGAGAGGAAGTTGACAGCAGCCTGGCCCTGGTTACCTGGAAAGACACTGCCGCAAGCCTGGACCGCCTTTCTTAGGCCACACCCGCCAGGCTCCTGGTTTTTTGCATGAGAAGCAGTTTTGCAGAGGCCAAGGGCAACTGGGAAGGAGTCAATGCCAATCACAGCGAGCCCAAGGTTGATAATTCTTGGTGGTAATAGCTGGCCCTGTCCCCTGGTTTATTGTCCTGGCTGGCCCAGCTGAGGGAGCGAGGCTAGGGCAACCCCTAGTGCCCTCTGGCAACCTCCCCAGTCTCTGGGCGGGGCTGCTCCCTCCTCCCCCTCCCAGGCTCCACCTGTAGGCCCACTGCCTGGAGCACCCTGCCAATAAACCACATTCCCACAGAGAGATGTGTGCACCATCTTATCAGGGAAACCAGGACTGGGGATTCAGCCTGTCTGGAAAAATACTGGGCCAGTTGTGGCCTGCAGGCTACCTGCAGCCCGCAGGGGGACTGGCTGGGTTTGCAGGACCTCGGTGCGGGTGGACATTCCAAGATAGTGAAGCCTCCTCAGGCCCAATGTCCAGGGGACAGGAGTGCCAGGTGAGCCCTTGACTCACTCCCACGTGACCTTATTTAACAAACTGACAGGTTCAGTCCATGCCCCTCTAAAATATGGCGCCTCGCCTTTGGGAAAACAGCAGAAGGGGGAAGGCAAGAGCGGCCTTGCCTTTCTGCCCTGAAGCAGATGGTCACAGACCCTCAGTGGCTTCCTTACCTTTGAAGACAGGGACGGAAAAGAATCTGGACAAACCGGCCTGGCTGAGCTCCCCCTGGCTTCTAACCTCCAGTTCCTGCCCCTCCATCCAGCCAAGCTTCGGCACAAACAGCCACACTTCATCACGCTGGGCGTAAAAACACACAGATTTCCCTGTTTCTTCAGGCCTTCACTTCTGAGGGCCCTGGGTCCCATATTAAATAAGCCTCTCTCTTATTAATGTGTCTTTTCTGAAATCTTGTCTTAATCTGTAATTGGGGTCTTAACCACGAGCCTACCAGCAGGTAAGCAAAGATGGAACTTCTCCCTTTAAGATACTGTTGTCCTGAGTCCATACTAGATCAACTTGGTACTCCTCTCGGAAACTCCTCAGGTCCTAATTATTGCAACCATTCCCATTTTATACACAGGGAAACTGAGGCACAAAGTGGTCAAGCAACTTGTTCCAAGATCGGGAGGCAGGATTCGGTCCTTGCATTGTGGCTGAAGAGCTGGTGCCTTAACCGCCCATTAGTCCCTCTGGGGTTCCTCACTCAGGGTACTTGGCACCTGGTGAGTATTTTGTTGTTGTTAGTTAACATTCTGGTGCTGGACTGTACTGACGCATAGTAGAAGCCTTATAAGGTAGTTGCTGATTGCTTGCCTCAGTGTGTGTGTGTGGAAACCGCCCCGCGATGGAGACTGGACCCTTCCCTTTCCTTTAGTGCCACTGGCAAGGCAGAGCTGGCCTCTGGCAAGTCGTCATAACTGCTCTGAAGAGTGACCGGCCCTGGAAACAGGGGAGCCTTTGACAGAGATTGGAGCGGCCCCTGCTGGCTGTATTCGGTACTGCCGGATGCGCAGAGGCCCCGTGAACCCTCAAAGCCGGGGTAGGGAGATGAGAGGGTCTGAGGCTTCTGAGGACTCAGCACCCCCTCCATGCACCCTGCAGCTCCCCACACCCTTTCTCTCCCCAGGGTAATTTTGTCACCTCATTGGGACCCTCAGTGATAGCCAGCCCTCAATTTGCCCAGGGTCCTATCATTAAAAGTACTTTTGTGCTGGGTACCGTGGTGCACGCCTGTAATCTCAGCGACTCAGGAGGCTGAGGCAGGAGGACCGAGAATTCAAAGCCAGCCTCAGCAACTTAGCAAGACCTTATCTCAACATTTCAAAAAAAATTTTTAAAGGGCTGGAGATGTGGCTCAGTGGTTAAGCACCCCTGAGTTCAATTCCCCACTTCAATATACACACACATGTAATGCTTATATATGAAAATCACATCTGTATCAAACACGCACAGGCCTTTTTTCCCTGTCATTGTTCCCGAAGCAATTCAGCCAAACAACCAGGTGCATTGCACTAGATAGCACAAGTGATCTAGAGGTGATTTCTAACTTACACAAATGGAAGATCCTTATGTAGAAGAGATTTTATAGAAGTGGATTTTGGCATCCTGAAAGTTCTGGAACCAGTCCCCATGGATGCTGGGGCAAGACTCCACTGTTACTCAAGTCATTGGTGAACCTCGGGGCTGCCGTGTTGATAAGAGAAGATTCAAAGAGCCCCCCTGCATGGACGCATCCTATGGAGCTCAGGCAGAAGCCAGGAGGGGCTTCCCTTTGGGAGTTGGTGATGGGGAGGAGCACCAGGCCCTTGGGATGCCGGTCCCTCAGGTGGTCCTTACCTGATCACACAGGTGTGCATATGCACAGAAAACCCACCCGACGGACCCTCAGTTGCCATGGCATCTACCTTGGCTAAATTCCCTCCCTGCCCTAAAATTCTCATTCTGAAGACGCTGGTGAAGGTGGAGTCTCCCTGGGCTTGGCCAGCACTGCCACCTGGTGGAGAGAAAGGCACTGACTGTCCCCATACCTGAAGGGACACAGTGGGCCACACAGGCGGCTGGCCAACCCACTCTGCGCCAGTGTCCCCGGACACTCAGTCTTGGTCACCCAGTCTTTTTTTTTGTGTGTGTGTGTCTTTTAGCCACTCCATGCAGGCCATGGTGTACCTGCTACCAGAGAGGCACACAGGCCTGGGACACTGGGGGAACCATGGCAGATTATGTCCAGGGAATGGGCAAAGGTTTGTGAAGGAGCAGATATCTCAAATCAAGCCCTGACAGGAGGATCACAAAAGTAAGTTGGAGGTAGGCAGTCCTCCAGGGTGGCAGTGACAGCTCTGTGGTCCAGCGACCCAGACTCTCCTCCTGTCTGTCCTGCCATTCCACCACTGGCTTCCATACTCTGGTCACTTTGTGGCCCAGAAGGGCTGCTGGAGCTCTGGCTGGCACATCAGAGTTCCATGAAACAAAGCAGCAGCAAGGCCCCAAAGGGCATTCTTTCCACTAAGCAGCTGCCTGTCAAGCAGGGCTGGGCACACTTTCCTTCACAGGTCATTGGCCTGAACTCTGTCACAGCCACAACTAGCTGCAAGTAGATCTGAAAACAAGTATTTATCCAGCTGAGGGACATGCTGCTCCTCCCACGTCCCTCCAATCTATTCCTCCATCTCTAACACCCTCTCCTTGGGTATTCTAAGTTCTAAAGAGAGCCCTCTGATAGCGCTTATCTAAAAGGAAGATGCAGATGCTGGTCCTACAGGTCCTGGCTCCTTCTGATGTGATACTGGGGCTCCAGGGACTTACCTGTGAAACTCCCGTCTTTTGTCCTAAGGCACCCTGGCCTCTCCTAAAAGCTTTTGGGAGAAAGAACCTTCGAAACCATCAAGTTCATTATTTATTCCTTTGAATAAAACCATTTTCCTACCAACTTGAGTATTTTGCTTGAGCAGCAAGCATATGGCCTCACCTCTCCCTCCCGGGTGTTAGAGGTACCTGGCAACAAGACCAGCTAAAACAGGGGTCCTGTTACTAAGGAGGAAGGGGTAAATGGATGCTGGATAGGCACATGGCACTGACGAGTCCAGTGACAGAGTGAAGCACCGGTCCTTCCGTTTGTGGGAGAGGAGACAGCAAGGCCCTAGTTTGCAAAGGCCATGCTGAGGAAAGTCTAGGCTCTATTTTGTAGAAAACAGGAACTTGCTGAAGGTTTCTGAGCAGAAGCTGAGGACCAAGGGACCTGAAAGCAATCTGGTATTGGGAAAGAGCCATTGGACATGTATTAGTGAGTTTTCTGTTACTGTAACAAATACCTGAGATAAATCAACTTAAGAAGAGGAGAGGCTTATTTTGATTCACCGTTTGGGAGCTTTCAGTACATGGCTGATTGGACCCATTGCTTCGGGCCTGTGACTGTACAGCACATCATGACAGGAGCATGTGGGAGAAGAGGCCCAAACACCTCGCAGTGCCCAGGTGCCAAAGAAGAGAGACCGGTGTTCCAAGGTCCCCTTCAAGGGCCTACTAACTCCAGTGACAAAAAATCTCCCCCCAGACCCCTCCCCCAAAACACAAACCTCTTAAAGCTTCTGCCACCTTTCAACAGTGGTGAGCTGGGGACCAGGCCTTTCCCACGGGGCTCTATGGGGGACATTCAGGTATAAACTACAGCAAAACAGAGAGGTGATGTTAGGAGGTGATGAGGGAACGAGAGAGAAACAGTGAGAGGGTGGGGACAGTGGCCGTGACTCTGGTACCAGGGGAGGGACACAGGCCCAATATTACAATGCGCTCTGGGTGTTTGTGTTGGGACAGCTACAGGTCGTCAGATGGCTTGAAGTCACCTGGGAACCCAGATGCTTAGCCCGGAGGACAGGGCTGGGGAGGCAGATGCTCAAGTGACCAGTCATATGGGGGTGGATGAGATCAGCCAGGCGGGGCCAGAGGACCGAGATGGACCCAGCAGAGCTACCAGGGAAGGGAGATAAAGGAGTACTACGCCCGCGTCTCGGAGCCAGATGGAGCTGGCTGGCGTTCTGAACTCCCCACCTGATGACCGCACCCCGACGGCTGGTTGTCCTCTCTAAGCCTCAACTTACTCACCTGCAACATGGGAGTAACGAAGCTGACCTTGAGGGCCGGCGGGAGGACTGAGATGCCTAACACATTTCCTCTGGGACCCTGAAAACTGGGCAGTCCAGCTCTTACCAGTGGGCTAGCAGCCGTCCCCTTACCAAGGGGGTCATCGGTGTGTCCCACAGTCCTCCTGCTGAGGGGTGGGGCCCTGGAGCCCTGCGTGGGCTCACTCGGGAGTGAATCCTGAGCCCTATGCATGTCCAGGGTCCAGAGCAGCCAGGGCAGCCCCGGCTCCTCCAAACACCCGGGGCAGGGGCATCAGCAACCCCAGCTGGGGGTCAGGAGCCCACGGGAGGAAGCGAGGCCAT